CATTACGGTCAGATCAAATCCAATGATAAAACTTTATCTGAAACAGCCATGAATTTATAATCAGTAGCTCATGACTTGATTATTTTCTCTCTTCAGCTGTATTAAAAGCTCCTTCAGAACAGGGGAAATGTTTTATGCTTTTAATCTACCCTGTGGCTTCTATGTGATAATTTGTGTTTAATACGGTAAAACATAATGATGGAGGAATGAGACCAGTTTCTCCTTCTGGAATCAGCCTTGCTATTTCATAGTCTTGGCCTATAGAATTTATTGACTTATATTTCAGGTTACATATATCCAGATCTTTATGGGTCTGGGTTTCACTGCTGGTGAGCCTCAAAAATCTTGAAACTTAAAAACATCACAGAGGCTAGGATTCCACCGCAAGTCTACAGAATCAAAATCTTCAGGGGATAAAGGCTGGATATCTGTATTTTTTAAAAGCTCCTCAAGTGAGTCTACTGCACACCTGTGGTTGAGAAAGCCCACCTCATGGAGTATTACAGACACTCTAATGTGAAACTATGCACACTTGAGAGGTTTCTCAAGTACAGGCATTTCGCATACCCAACTAACCAAGGAAAACGTACATCATTATCACAGAACATTTCTAGGATTGTGCATGGGTGACCATAGCAGATTCTGTGCAAGAGGAGGATAGCCTAGGCTTACATACATTTTAAGCAGGGATTTCTCAGTTGAAAACATTTTTAGAAACTTTCAAATGCAATGACTTCAGAAGTGAGAATCAGAAGCAAGAGAGTAGAAGCTTATAAGAGAAATGGAGAGACAAAGAGTATAGCTGGGCCGGCCTGGTGGCGCACTGCTACAGTGCGCCGCTTGGGAAGCGCGATGGCGCTCCCGCCGAAGCTTCAGATACCACATACAGACCGGTTCCCGCTCACTGGCTGAGCGAGGTGTGGGCGCAACACCGAGGTCGGCCTGGTGGCACACTGCTACAGTGCGCCGCTTGGGAAGCGCGATGGCGCTCCCGCCGAAGCTTCGGATACCACATACAGACCGGTTCCCGCTCACTGGCTGAGCGAGGTGTGGGCGCAACACCGAGGGTTGCGATCCCGTTGCCGGTCCCGGTCCGGTACGGGCGCGACACTGAGGGTTGCGATCCGTTGCCGGACATGAAAAAAGACAAAAAAAAAGAGTATAGCTAGCATTATGGGTAAGTGGCCATCTATATAGTATGATTTACAGGGGACCTAAAATTCCATCATGATTTTTTTCCTTTGGCTTTAAACTTTGTTTCTTGTTAAAATGGAAATACCTGTGAATCACATCTGTATAGCTAGCATTATGGGTAAGTGGCCATCTATATAGTATGATTTACAGGGGACCTAAAATTCCATCATGAATTTTTTCCTTTGGCTTTAAACTTTGTTTCTTGTTAAAATGGAAATACCTGTGAATCACATCTGACTGGGTTCATCAGATCCTTACCTGAGAACACATTGTGATCGGGTGTGGGGAAAGATCTGGAAAAAAATGGGTAGAAGGGTGAGGAGGTATTGCCAAAGGAAGAAACACACTTAGCAGGACACCTTGCAGACAGTGGCAGTTGGACAAATATTGCCACGTTGATTTGTTATTATTGAGAAAAAAACAAAATCAAACAACTTTTGGAAATGAAGATGAGCTATTAAATATTTCATACTTTCCCCTGCCTGCCGCTGAGGAGCTCCTTGGCTCACCCTGGCCCATGTTGCTAGCTCCTGAGTTGGGAAGGAAGCAGCAGGAAAGCAGCTTCTTCCCTAGGGAGACGGCCCTGTGGTCTAGGCTGGCCCCGGGAGTGAGGGTTCGGAGGTCCAGCCTGAGTATTTTCCTCTGACTTGCTGTGTGGCCTCCAGCCAGTCTCCCAACAGCTTTAGTTTCCTTGTATGTCAAACCAAGATAAATATCTACCTTCCCACCTCTTCAGGGTGTTGTAAGGCTTCACTTCTGCCTCTTTCATTAACATTTGTCCAAAGACCCTAAGAAGAAAGCTTTTGAGAAGTTTTAAGACGGAATATTTTTTCCTATTAGCATTATCATTATGATATCAGAGGTTATGCAGCATTAGGAGAAATGAGAACGTATCGGGAGGGTGGGATAATGGGCAGCACAGCAACCTGACTCACAGACGCAGTGTCTGTAGTGGAAGAGAAACACAAAAGGGGGTTTGGGGTTGGGGTGCAAGGGAGAGAAGTCTGCAATTGGTAACAGATGCCATCAAAAGCTAACGACCTGACAAACACCATCCTCATAAAACAAATTCCTTAAAAAGGAAGCAGATGGAAATATAAGCTAGTGAAAGAATTTGCAGCAGCTGCCCTAAAACCATTTCTCACTTCATAAACAGGTCTGGGTTCGGTCCCTTTTTTTTCTGGTCTTCGTCTTATTTCATGCCACTTTTCCCTCCTGTGTGCTCCCCTGTCTCGCTCCTCCTCCCTTGCTGCCAGTGCTAGACAGACTTCTCACACCGGCAGTCATAGCAATGGTAGCTCATGGAACCCTATCTTATGGAAAGAGGCTCCTTCCGCGTATTTGTTTTGTGTCTTGTCTCAGCACGTATTTGTTGACGTCTCAATGATGACATTGATTAGTTGGACGAAGTCACTGAAAAACAGCACATGTTCTTTCATGTTAATTTCTTGGCAATAAGCTGACACGAACCAGTGTTAATGACTCTCTGTTTTCTAGTACTTGCTGTTCAATAGGCTGAAGAAGACATTGTGTTTTGGACATCAATGGCACGTAGCATCTATGGAGTTTGGATTTCTTTAGCATTGCTAATGAGGCAGTCTGATCTCATCCCATAAAAGATGGTCAGGTTTTAACTCCCCTATCCAGATATGTTGAATAAAAACACGGAGACAAAGATTTATTTCCTATATTCCATACCCAGTTATCAGCCCTTGGTTTGGGGAGTTCATGCTGACTCTTTAGTGACCCCCCATCACTCCAGTGCATGTATTTTTACCCTTCATCAGGCCCTGCGCTGGATACCACATCATCATATTTTTATTTTCTACTTTCTTATATTCTTGCCCAGCTCTTTGATAAAGTCATTGAGTGCAAACACAATTCAAGGGCACACAGCACATTAATGATGATGAGATTTGCAGCAGTCATTTTGGCTACTAATTAGCACCACTGGCAACAACATCAAGAGTAAAAAAAATGTCTTGTTAGCCTTTCCCATCAGACATGAGTTTCTTAAGGGCACAGTCTTGATTATACCGCCAGTACTCAGACCAATGCCTTGCAAACAGTGAGTGCTTCATAAATGTTAATGAATGAATGAGTGGGGCATGATGGTTAAATCACTGTTTGATAATGACATTTTTATATTTCAGATCCCCATCTGTCACTGTAAAATTTAACAATTTTCCCATTTTGATCGCCATTGACTTACTTTGCTGTGTATAATATGAACACATTTAATTCAGCAAACTTTTATGTGTCTACTACAGCAAGGTGTTTGGTGAATATAAGAGTGGGTAAGAGTTAGTATTTCTCTTCAAGAAGTTCATAATCTAGATGGGAGATTCAGCATTTAGGAGACACTCAGATACTAATTGCCTTGTGGATAGAAGGATGAATACATTAACTAAAGAATGAGAAAATGCATATGTGAATATAATACAAGATAGAGTAAAAGAAATGATAGAAAAGAGTTATTTTAAAATTTCATTGAGGGTTTTAAAGGAGGAAGATATCTGGAGAGGCTTCTGGGAAAAGGGAAGTCTTTTAGAAATCTCAACAAATTGAGCAGAGGTACAGGAGGAGAGAACTAAGAAGGAAGGCAGCTCATAGCAAACAGCCCACTGAGGGTGGGACCCGGGCCGAGTGCCGTGCAGCAGCAGCAGCAGGAGCTAACCTGGGAACAGTCACAACCCCATGACATGCGCATCATCATGATCCCTGCCTCGGGGAGGAAGAAGCTGAATCACTGGGGAATGAGTAACTGCAGCTCAGACAGGTAGTGAACGGTGGAGCCAGGATTCAAACCCAGACAGCTTGGGGCCTTGACCTCTATGGCTCTGCACGACAAGAGGGCAACACTCTTTTTTTCCTTTGCTTCCTTGCTGTGGTTATGTTCCAGGCTGAGTGTCCCTGAACCTGGGAGTTGGTATATCTCTCCTGATCCTGATCAATTGGCCCTAGCAATCCAGGCATCGGGTCTCTGTTAAGAGGATATCTCTGGAAACACCTAGCACAATGTCAGGCATGTGACAGGAATTCAATATGTGTGAATTTTCTCTTCCTGTAATGGTCTCAATTTCTGATTAGCCTGTGCTGATATTCAGTAGTGTGTAAGGCTATGGCTGTACTAGTTGCCAAAATATTTCCATACCAATCAGTAAAAAGATGTTGTCTTTTCTGCCGCCTCAGATACCCAGGCCCTTTGTATGGGACCATTGGGGACCTTCCTGTGATCAAACATCTAAAAGATTGATGCCTGACACAGCCAGAGGTCTCTAGGATTCACTCCTGAGCTTTGTCCTGGGTTTGTTCTGATTGTTTGGGATGCAGCAGTCCTGGCTGTTAAATATTTTGAGCATCATTTCCTGAACTATTCATTTCTGAGACGCTGAGCTATTCATTTCTGAGATTATTCAGAGCTCTTGGGATCTGCTGTCCACTTTGTCTCATAGCCATTTGGTCCTCTTGGAAGAACAATAGAAAGTTGGTGAATCCTGAACTATTCATTTCTGAGACTATTCAGAGCTCCTGGGATCCGCTGTCCACTTTGTCTCATAGCCATTTGGTCCTCTTGGAAGAACAATAGAAAGTTGGTGAATTGTTACTTGTTAACTGTTATTGTTCATGTTTATTAAGTCACAGGAGTCCAGGTACTATAGAAGAAGGTGGTGAGTTAAATGACGGTTTTGAAAAAACATTGTTCTCTCTGGTTCAGGGGCACTCCTCAGAGGGAGTTGCAAGGTCATTGCTGGGAGCTGTTGGTTCTGAGTAAGTCCTAAGGTGCTTCTGTTTCTGTCATCCAGCTGTGTCCACCGGCCCTGTGGGGAGCAGGACAGCTGTGCACCATTGCTGCTCGATCACGCCAATGTGGCAAACTGTACCTCCAGTGGCCCAGGTCACATGAAGTGTGCTATCACCTGTCAAAGGGGGTTTGCGCTACAGACCAGCAGTGGACAGTACCTCAGGCCCATGCAGGTGAGTTGGAAGCCCACGGTCATCAGGACCAAGCTCCTGGGGAGGGAAGCTATTCATGCTCTTCTCCCTGGCTGGACCAGGGAAGGGCAGGTGCTTTTAAATCATTTGAAAGGAGAAAATGGGGGCTGTAACATGCAAAGAGCAGTATGGTTTAACAGGAATGCCAGGTAGATAAGAGAACGTGCAATTCTGATGAGCTAGGGTGCACACCTCTCCCCAGGTGGGCAGTCGACAGGAATGCTTATTTCGCTCTTCTCCCTTGTTTTTGTCTTCCTATCAGAAGTTATGTTCCCCACGTTCGTCTTCAAGATGAGAAGGCCACAGTTTAGGCTTGTCCGTAATTTGCAGGCAAGTTTGATTTCAATCAACTTGAGGCCATTGTCCACTCCCTCTCCAACCCTCCGTACAAGAAGGCTGGTCTTCAAGATGAGAAGGCCACAGTTTAGGCTTGTCCGTAATTTGCAGGCAAGTTCGATTTCAATCAACTTGAGGCCATTGTCCACTCCCTCTCCAACCCTCCGTACAAGAAGGCTGGTGAAATAGGCCCAACGTTTTTCCCAAAAGCTTTAAATTACTCAGGCCGAGGTTCTATCATGATTCTAGCTTTGGCTGAATTTTCCAAATTTCTGCAGGCTCCATTCCAAATTTCTATAGCACCATTTCTAGGATTTCAAGGTGGTTTGGAGGTAGTAGAAGATATTGGTTGAGAGCATGGCTCGAGAGACCGATCTGAATGAAATTTTGGCTTCACTATGTAATAGGTGTGTAATTTTGGGTAAATAAACAAACAAAAGAAACTAACTTCTTTAAGCTTTTCTCCACATTTATACAATAATTAGAATAGGAGCACTTATCTCACTGAATTATTATGATAATTGATTAGAAATAACTTAAAAGCTTCTAGCGAGATGATAGGCACATTAACACTGTTAAACTGCCGTTATTATGAGCATGATTCTGTATTCTTAACTAAGAATTTTGTTTTCCATCTTTACTTTAGTGAGTTTACAGAAGACTTAAACATGAAATCAACCATTAGAAAACATGTCTCTCTTATGAAAGGACACACTAGCCAGAAGATCGTGGTACTCGGAGACAGAACCAGAAAGATGTGGTATCACGAGGAAAGAGTGGACACATGATTGTTAGTCAGATATCAATGATTTGGGAGATTGGAATTTTTTTCATTTTGTGCCAATCGATTGCTTAACAGGTTGTGAACCTTTGGGAGAATTTCACTTGCTTCGAGATGATCAGGATTTAAAGACACGATCTTTGGTTTCAGATGGTTTAGATTCTGCCTTGAGAGAAACAGTGTTAATGTACCTCAAGGCACCAACTTTTTTAGTCTAAAAGGCAACTCTTATCAACTGATCTTAACCTATCTCAACTCAGACAAGAGTATGTCCATATCAGAAAAGAGATAGAATGAAAAAAAAGCAGGGACCGAATACACTTGTGTAATAGGTAAAGAAGGGGAGAGAAGTTTAATGTTTGCAATGCATTAAAATTAGGAGCACATTCAAGACAAAACTGACAATACCTAACGAAGCCAGGAGAAAAACCAGGCAATCTATGCAGAGTTTGAGAGATGTTCTTCAAATGATTAGTGGCTCGTCGTGGTTGGAACTAGACTTCCAGGCTGTATAAGGTTGTAAGGGACAGAATCTGGGCTGGGAGGAGGGAGGTGGGAGCTCCCCCTCTGCCAACCATGTGTGGAGGCAGCAGCAGAGCTCTCCAGCTGACCCCTGACCACTCCTGTCGCCCGAGGCCGGCCCCATGAACAAAATTATACGATCCCGCTTGTGATCACAAGACAGTGGAGATATTTGCTTTTCGTTGACACAAGAACTGAAACTAAACAGAAAAATGTGTCTGGCTTGGAATTGGGTCTTTCTGGCAGGCAACAGGGAAACATTGGGAAGCAGGGTGGAGCAGGCAGCCAGGAGTTGGTGTCAAGGGTGACAGGTGCCTTGGGCAGTCATTTCACCTTTGGCTTTGGTGCCACTGTGCTCTCCTGGTGATGGCTGGCTCAGCCACAGAAGCTCCCCTCTGTCTGACCTTTGGTAACCCCACGGCTGGAGTGACTGCTGCCCTTTTTCCAAACAAGCCATGAACTTCCAGGTCTCTAGGTCCCTGCTCATTCTTTCCTCCCAACATGGACATCTTCTTCTCCCACCGCTTCGGGCTGCTGGGGAGTCTTGATCCTTGTCAAAGGCCTGTTCCTACTCTGCGAAACTTCCCCAGGGGCTCTTCCTCCCCGTCCCTGCTCCAGCTCCCCTGGTGCTGTTGTGCCATCACACACAGCGTGGATTATACGACATGGCTTTATTTTTATGTATTTATAGTTTCTTTCTCCTCGATCCTAGTTTTCTACTTCTTTTATTTTATCATTTGCATTCTTTATATTGTATTCTCCCCAACCATTATAAAACAGAGCAGGATTTACTGATAAAAATGTATCTCTAGCAGTTTTCTCTTTACTTCCTTTTCTGCTTTCCTATCTCCTTTTCTCCTTCTTTCCATTCTTTCTCCTTCAGATGTTTTCTGAGCCACTGTTTCAACATGAAATTTGCTCCTCTGGTGCATTTTTAGCTCCTTGAGGGTATCTTGTTTGGTACAAGACCTGGCCCTGCCAGGTGCTCAATAAATATCTCTTTATTTAATTAGCAGCAGCGTGCTCTAGGCTACCCCACTGAAAGGACAGGCCCCATGAAATGGTTAGAATCTCTCACATTTAACTGCAAGATTTGGAAGGTGCCTTGTATGCATTAGCTCTCAGCTGTTCTAAGATACTATGCGCCATCCTCAGTGAAAGTAATTATTTTTAGTAGCATTATCCGTTGGTTTATTAATACGGATGCCAACAGGAAACAGATGACATGCTCAAAAGTTGGAAATTTGAGAGAATTTAATAAAGGGATTCCTTTTAAGGGTGTGGGCAGGATGCAGGGAAATCACAAGGAGATGGTGCAGACTCCCAGGGTGAAGCTCTGTTATCACCCCCAGGGCTGAAAGGTCTTCTGTAGGAGCAGCAGAGCCAACAGGAAGAAAGAGCAGAAGCCGTTCAGAGAGGGCTGGGTGGGGATGCAGCCCGTCTGTAGCGACCGCCTGGGAGGGAGTAGGAGGAACAAGCACCCCGGCCTCCCTTTTCTCTCTCCCTCTCCCATCTGCTGCCTCTGTGTTCTGGGGGCTGAAGCCAAGCACCAGTCAGAGGCATGAGAGCCGCAGGGGCCAGTGTCCCTGGGCACAGAGCAGGGTGGAGAAAGGTAGAGAACAGATCTGGAGGAGCAAGTGGAAGGCAGCCAACAGAGCTGGCCAGCAGGAGCACTGCCATTTAATGATTCTCTTACACTAACAGGCCCCTTTCATCCGCGTCACAACTGGGTATTGTGAGACTGTATATTAAGATAATGAGGCATAAAGAGGGAGAAAGGCAAAATAATTTTACTTGTTTTGAATGTTTGGACAAATAATCACCGGGACTCTTCCAAAGCCTGGAAACTATTCTGATAAGCCTTTTTATGTGACGTTGACAAAGGCAAATTCTCTGTTTCTAGAAGGAAATTCTTCTCACGTGTTCCTCTGGGCACTGGGACCGGGACGTGAGCTGCATGCCCATTGACTGTGGCGTTCCCGATCCGTCTTTGGTGAACTATGCAACCTTCTCCTGCTCAGAGGGAACTGACTTTCTGAAACGCTGCTCAATCTCTTGTGTCCCACCAGCCAAGCTGCAAGGTACTGTGTGGCCCACCAGCAACTGTGTGCAAGTTCTCTTCAACCCTTCATGCTTTGGGATACTTTGGGGCTTTTTTCTTCAGCCCAGCACCCTTGCCATTTGCTCCGCTCTGCCACCCTCTTCTGAAAACACTAGCAAAGTCCCAATGGGTGACACTGTTCTTGGTCCCTGCCTATCTGGAAGGATGCATTGGCTCAGGATCTCATTAATGAGAGAAACTCAGACTTTGCTTTGTTTTTATTGACCTGTATGCATCCTGGAATCATTCCAACGAGCACAGTTGTCCTGATAATATTAATAATCAAGATATATTTTATCTTGCACATTTTAAAATTTAATATTTACAACCATCCTATGAGTCAGGTGTGTTTAGTTCTATTTTATAGATGAGAACACTGTTATATAGTTTGTTCCTGGCTACACTGCTAGTTAAAGATAAAGATGGGGTAAAACCTGCTGTAACTGTCCCCCACACCTTGCTCTTTACCTAACTAGACTTCTTAGAATTTGGTGTGTCTGACAGTTACTTAGGAGGCTTGTTACCAATACAGATGCTTTAACCTTATTCTAAGAGATTCTGATTTAGTAGGTCTGGGGTGGGCTGGTGATGCTATTGTGAGAAGTCCCTGGATTGCAGTAGGAGAAACTGTGAATTGTACTGAGGCATATGGTATGTGTTTAAGCATAGAACTCTGCACCCAAACTGCTTGGGTACAAACCCTGACTCTGCCCCTTACTAGCTTGAGCAAGGTGCTGAACCCAATTTCCTCATCTGCACAATAGGGGATAATAACAGGATCTATTTCATTGGGTTGTTTGAGATTTGGAGTTTACATGGGTTAGTACATGTAAAATGCTTAGAAAAGTGCCTGGTATATAATAAGAACTATAAAAGTGTCACCTATTATTATTTTAATGCTTCCCATGATACTGTCACTGCTATATTTTTATTATTTGTAGGTAAAAAGGGAAGTAATGATTTGGTCAATAGCCTTTCTTTCATTCATGTCAAGAAATATTTATCTGACCTCTATTCTGTATAAGAGACCACACTGGATGCTCTATGGGTAAAAAGTTATAGGATAAACATTTGACATGAGATTTTATAAATGCTGCTCAGCAAAGAATAATATGACTTTTGAGGATCGCCAGTATATTGACAGGTTTTCATTCTTTCTTTAAACTTTCATTACATTTCTGGACTCTGTGTTCTAAGCATCCTGTGCTTCTCTTTCCTGGAGTCAGGACTGAGCCCGTGGCTGACCTGTCTTGAAGATGGGCTCTGGTCTCTCCCCGAAGTCTACTGCAAGCTGGAGTGTGATGTGCCCCCTGTTATTCCCAATGCCAACTTGCTCCTGCCTCACTGCCTCCAGGGCAACCACGATGTGGGCACCATCTGCAGATATGAATGCAAACCCGGCTACTACGTGGAAAGTGCTGGAAGTAAAGTCAGGAAGTAAGTGGGATTTTTCCTGGTCTTCACAGTCGTGCCTACCCTCTCTCCTTGCTTTATTCCTTCATTTGCAAGTCTCAGATCATTGTTTCAGAAATAATATTAAGAACTTCTGGGTTGCCTGTTACTTATTGTGTTTGTTTTTCTGTATAATCTCTGTTCACTTGCACAGATGTATTCTCCAGTCATGACAGGTAGGTGATCTGCTGTACTTTCCGTAAAGGTATTCTCTCCCACAGGAGATTCCACAGTCTCGCATAGGTGCTTTTTAAAAGAATTTCTGCCCTAATTTTATAGCTTTCCTTGAAAGTAAGTGTTAGGAGCTTCCCAAGCATTATGCATGCCACTTGAATCCAACTCCGTGCTGGCATATCCCCATCAGCACAACATACAATTGCAGGCTCTGGGAAAAACTGCATTGCCCGCTCTACAGTTCAGGCACTTATTAGCTGCGTGACATTCAGAAGGTTTCTTTCTGTGCCTTGGTTTTTCATCTGTGCAATGGGGATGATGATAATAATAATATCCCCTCTTAATCAACCGAGCAACCTCAAGCAAGTTACTCAACTCTGTACATGTCAGTCTCCTTTGTAAACTGAGGATAATGACCCGTCAGAGTGTTGAGTCGAGGGTTAAATTAGATAATGCATATTCAGCCGTGGCTTGTGCCAATTACTCCTTGAATGGTTTCAAAAAAAAGAAGTTTTTCCTGAGCAAACAAAACACAAAGCTTTTGGACAGAGAAATTCCTTGTATTTAGTAAATAGTAGCTATTCTTTTCTGACCATAAATTGTGTAGGTACAGGAGAAAATCAAATTCATTTTTTTACTGGGGACTTAGTTTAAAGCCTGGCCATAAGTGTTCTTTTTTTTTTTTTTTTTAAGGTTTTTTAAATTAACTAACAAAATTCCAGTCATGGCATTACTAATGATGCCAGGAGATACAAACTTTGCTTGTAAGCTAGAATTCTCTAAGGGGACAGAAGAAAATCAGGAAACTTACTCTCTGGCTGGCACTTACCCTTCTGCTAGTAGATCCCCAGACATGTTTATATGGGGTTCATAGAACAATGGCCTCGCCCAGAGCTTTCCACTACAGAAAAGCCTGGGGGCTCATACTTGGGAGAAGAAGAGCCAGCCCCCTCCTTGTCCCCTCAGCCAGAAGGAAGAGCCAGACTGATTAGAACATGAGTGATACCTATGAAAAATTCATAGGAGGCAGCACTCTCTGGTTCAGTAGACTCTAGCAGGTGTAGTAAACAGTTTTTGACAATGGACAGCACATTTGCATGTGATTTTCATAGGATTTAGATGCAATTTACATAAGCATACATTGACAGGTAGTGAGTGCCCAAGTAATCTTTACATAACAATGTCATTATACCTAGCCTGGAGCTGCTGTTTCTGGCTTTGTTTTTCTTTTTTCTTGCCTCCTTTTTCACACACCAGCAGCCACATCAGTTATCTGCAGAACAGTGCAGTGAAGCATAATTGAAGGGGAGAGAAATGTCTCAGGACCAGGAGGAATTAAGAGCAGACAAATCATCACCAGCTCTCTGGGCCCATGGCTGAGCTTTATGTTGGAAAAAATGAGGCTTCCACCCAGAACTGTGGGCTTTCTGCCTCCCCTCTTCATCCCAGCCCACAGGCAGGGGCACTTGATGGCCATTTGTGGACACAGCTTTTCTGGCTGAGAAACTGGACACTTGCATCACAACGTCAGCATCAGTTTTGGCTTAAACATTTACATTCGCAAGCACCGTGCTGAGGAGAGCTTAAATTATTTACCGCACTGTGTAAACTGATTAAATCTTAGTTTACACCTGTTTACATAGCAGGCAACGGATTGGGAATCAGAAGTGTGCGAGTCAGACGTAAATCACTGTCACTTGCCGCTTGTGTTTACCCAATGAACTATGTCAGCCTTGTTCCTCACATCTGGAAAAAGCCCAGCCTTGTACAAATAGGGCCCTGAAATTCTTTCTAGGACATGCAGGGGTGAAGAGAAGAAACTGAGAAAATCAGGCAGGGAAATCAATCCAGAGAGAGTGGGCACGTGCTAATTTTTTGTAGTTGTACAGCGTAGTGAGAAAACAAACATGTGGTTAGATTTGCAACTTGTTTGCATGACCCTGAGCAATATACTCCATATGCATGTGTCTCAGTTTTTGCCTCCATAATATGGGAGGTAGTAATTTATATTTGTATCCAACAGTATTGTTTTGAGGCTGAAAGTTGGGCAATGTACTGACGGCATTTTATCAAATATGACGTTCAATGCATATGCTGTGCTAGATATTACTTTCTGTCCATTTCTTTTTTTTTTTTTTTTTTCCTTTTTTATTTTTTTCGTGACCGGCAACGGATTGCAACCCTCAATGTCGCGCCCGGGACCTGCAACGGGATCGCAACCCTCGGTGTTGCGCACGCACCTCGCTCAGTCAGTGAGCCGCCGTTCTGTATGTGGGATCCGAACCCTCGGCGGGAGCGCCGCTGCGCTCTCAAGCAGCGCACTGTAGCAGTGTGCCACCGGGCCAGCCCTGTCCATTTCTTTTTAAAAGAGGAAAACAACTACCAAAATATCAGTCAAATACGTTCCCTTCCTGATTCTTCTCAAGTCTATCATTTCAAGAGAAAAGAGAGATAAGTGCTGGATTTGACTGTCTCTGCGATCCCTGTTCCAGCTTTGTCCTGTTCCGCCTGGGAGTGTCAGGGATGGTACATTCATTGCATGCATGCTGTATGCCAATCATGGGGTTAGGAATAAAGAAAGACCTAGGCAGTTAAACCTCAAAAACAGAGTCAGGATCTCGTTGTAGCATAGTTGGCCATATCCTCCCTCTTCAAACACCGTCTCTTTAATTCTGTTCTGTCTCGCTCCCTGATTTTCCTTCCTCCTCTGTGTCTCCTCCTTTTCTAGCTTGTTTCTTCTCCCCATTTCTTCAACGTTGGTGTTTCTGTGAGTTCTCTTTTCTCTCTTACTCTACACACTTGTCAGGGATGAAGCTCATTCACCCTATGGCCCTGATCACTGTCCACATGCTGGTGATTCCTAAATCCATACCTTCCACTATAGTCTCTTCCCTTAAAGGCCAGGAGGCCCATTAGGCCAACTGTCTGTGGATACAGCCACTTGGATATCCCACCTCATCTCAGACTCTTAACTGTACAAAACAGAGACTATTATAATTTCTTTCAAGTCCACACATCGTTCTGTGTTCCCTGAGGCTGGTTGAGCTGGGCGCCTGCCCATCACCTGAGATTTTCCAATGTTCTCCAACGTCTCATCCATCATTAACTCCCACTGAATGTCATTATTTCACTGACTCTCAGATATGCCCACTTCCCTGCACCCTCTTGCCATTTCTCTATAACAGGCCACTATCATTTTTAACTTCTGAACTGATCTTTCTGATTCCAGTCTTTCCACTTCAACAATTCTCCACATTATAGTAAAAATGGTCTTCGAAAAAACTCAAATCCAATTATAGTGTTTCTCCACATAAAACTGAATGACCAGCATTTCTCCCTTTTCATGTAGGGTAAAAAAAAAAAAAAAAAGAGTTAAAGTTAAAATAGTTTCAGGGTCCTACTAGACTTATCTGCACCTTGCTTATTTTCCAGCTCTTTATCTCCCACTGTCTTCGCTGGGAGAGCCCTTCCTCCAGCTGTTACACACACCTCTTATAGCACAGGCTCTAATGCTACTGGACTTCTTTTATGTCTTCACAGAAGCCATGGCTAGCTCGCCTCTGTGCCTTCAAACATGCTATTCCTTCTGCCCAGAGCCTTTTCTAACGGTGACCTTTTGTTTGGCTGACTCCTACACTTCTGTTTTTAGCATAGGTATGATTTTTTTTTTCCCTTTTTGTCTTTTTTACTGACCTGTAACGGGATTGCAACCCTTGGTGTCGCGCCCGTACCGGGGACCGGCAACGGAATCGCAACCCTCGGTGTTGCTCCCTTTTTGTCTTTTTTTACTGACCTGTAACGGGATTGCAACCCTTGGTGTCGCGCCCGTACCGGGGACCGGCAACGGAATCACAACCCTCTGTGTTGCGCCCACACTGCACTCAGCCAGTGAGCAGGAACCGGTCTCCACATGGGATCTGAACCCTCGGCGGGAGCGCCGCTGTGCTCCCAAGCGGCACACTCTCCAGTGTGCCACTGGGCTGGCCCAGCATAGGTATGATTTTTGTTTGGAGAGTCTACCAGATCTCCCCAGACTGCAGGAAAGGCTCTTCCTATAGGCTCCTGTTGCACACGGAACTTCCCTGATGACATCATTTATCCAACTGTTTACAAATCATCTGATTACTCATCTATATTTTCCAATAGACCATGAATATTTTGTTTAGCATCATGTACCCAGAGGCTAGTGTATTTACTGGTAGGTACTCAGTAAATACTTTCTGAATGCATGAAAGCATTGTATTTGTAAGAAAACTCACAATAGGATTTTGATGTTAAAATTGATGCTAAAAAATGGCAAAGGAAAGAGGAAGTTTTTCTTATGAAGTGATAGAGATCTCTCTTTCAAGTGCTTCAGAATAGAAGACAACTTCAAAAACGTTGTGTGTGTTTTTCTTATAGCAATTATCTCAGAAACATAGACGAATTGGTCATTCTCCAAAGACAGTTGTAATTTCATTTATTCCACAGTCATTTACACTTGATTAGCACAACTCTGCTAAGTAACAGAAAAAGGATTAGACTTCTCAACCAGCTCACTAGAACAATAGTTCTCATATTTTGTTGCACATGAGAATCACCCAGAGAGATTTTAAAAATCCTAATGTTCAGGCCATACCCCAAACCAATTACATCAGAATCTCTGGGGGTGGGACCCAAATACAAGTATTTTGCAAAGCTCCCTGAGTCACTACAACATGCAGCCAAGGCAGAGAAGCACTGGTCTAGTGAAACCTTTGTTTCTGCTAGAATGTCAGTCATGAGATTTTGACTTTCTTAAATATCCAGAGTAAAGTTTGTCTTTTTTCAAA